ACCCCTTCGTTATCCAGTTTCCCCCCAATTTCTTTTGTTTGTTGTGGAAGACTGTATTATCTAATCTACTATTGTTATGCACTATTATAATTTTTTGAATAATTGTTTGTTCACTAATTCTCAAAAATTTGAACCAAATATTCCATTAGTATATTTAACTCGATAATTAATAACTAAGCCATTACTAAGTGTCACATTTGTATAGTGATAAATTAATGCTTCCACAAATCATTAGTGACAATTATTGTTATAACTTGTTACTAATTCTTAGCAGTGGTCAAATTGAGAAAAAAATCACAATTGGCTGTAGAGAAGTTCAAAATTTTATAAAGCAGAAAGAAGAAGAAAAAAATATGTTTGTATTTACAGCAGAAAATGTACTACTGTTACTCGATTATCGGTATTATACACACACATGTATTTATCGGTATTATACACGAATGTATATAGCAATTAGAAAACTTCCTTGGTACAGAAACCTGCATTTAACAATCACAACATACTCCTCTTCTCTTTCGGTTTAGACGAGTTTGTGCACTCCTCACTACTAGTCCCCGAAACCTGCAAATATTTTATTACTTCACAGTTTTGTTCGGGAATTATGACTCGGCCGCTAGACAATATCATCAAGGCTAATATAATCACGAATCTCAAACGTAAGATAATCATATACATTATATTACCATGTACAATGTAATCAATAACCAATCTTATCAATCTCATCAACATTCCCAAACGATCGACTTTAAGGTATATATATATTGCCAGAGCATAAGCATATATCTATGAATGGAAACATGATCGAACTTACCGGTGGATCAGTGACCAGGCTCGAACTGCCTCCAGTAACAGTTGGCGGCTGCAAATTGCACTCTTCATATTCCTTCTGTTGAAGAGCTATTGCCAACTGCGAATCGGAGCTGCAAAAAACCATTAAACAGGTCAATTCTGTAATATTTCAATACCATAAATACCAAAGTTTAAGTTAAATACCAAAAAAGGAAAAAAAATAATGCAAGAAAAGTTTTAATGAATTACTCGAAACTTGAACTTTCTTCGGAACTACCAATGGTGGATGGAAACTCCTGCAAATAAAATATCTAATTCAGAATCCATGCACATACATACATACATACATACTAGAAGATCTGAAACACTAAAACAGCAGTATCAACCATGGCATTCTCTTTATCCCAACTGCTGTCGATAAAGTCGTCCATCTTGAATACCTTAAAGTCGCACGTCATGTATACAGTGTCGCCATTCACCTAACCATGGCAATCAAATTATAAAATATAAAGCATGAATCTTTGAATGATGTTTCCCAAACACTATCGAGAACAAAAACTGAAGCATCTGTCTAAGTTCCCGATTATAAAAGAATTAAAACCTCTGAATTTTTAATAAATGGAACAACATAACACAATCGTAATTTATCAATTTTGCTTCTGTATCAATATTGTAAATGGTGTTCAATATAGGGCCGAAAAAATGAAATAATTATTTAATGACCGGACTCAATAATACGTCTTGCAAGCCTGACTCCAATAATTACCAGAACAGGGTCAAACGCAATTTCAAAGTCTTCAACGTTTTGAAATTGTATTCCAACTTATCAATTGAACTTGTTATACCCCAATTGAAAAAACATCCAATCAAGAATGCTTTATAATCATCACATAAAATAAACCTAACAATTTAAATAAACAACTAGGTGGAGAAATCATCTATTTCAACTCAAGTTGACACTTCTACATAAGAACAAGAATGATTTACGTATTGTCGCCAAATGTTTTCGGTAACGACATTTCATTTTATCCAAATGGAAACCAAGATCATCCATAATAAAATAAAAAAATGAAACAGTTAATGCTATGCTGTGATCTCACCTCATTTAGCTTTTCCCACACCAAATCTGGCAGGTCAATGAAACCTTGATCTGTTGCTAAAATGTATAATTCACCTTCATACTGCAAATAAACTTTATAATTAGCAACAAAATTAACAAACTATACACATTTGGCACTGTAACAGTAAGCTTTCAAACTAAAAGAACAAACACGAAACAAACAACAAAAGATCTTGTTCTATATACCACAACTAATTCTTACAAACACGGAACACAACCCCAACTTCCCTCAGAAACAAAAAAAAATAAAAAATCCTATATTTAAAATTTCAAGAAAATAGATTTATATTTACATGCCATGGACTAACCTTAAACATAGTGTTGAAATGATTATTTCTGAAGAACACACAAATCTCGCGTTCCGTCACTTCATCTTGTAAGCAAGATAGGCTGTGGAAGAAAACCGACAATCAGAACCTTCTTATCCCAAACAAAGCACATCTTCTCAACCACATGCGGTGAAATAGCAAAACACACGTACCCATATACAGTCAACTGACTACCATTGATAAAGTTCTTGATAAGTTCCCCTATGAGAATCAATAAGAGGTAATTAGATACACTAGCATAATAGTCTTACAGAATGAATAGATAAAATAAACAAGAAAGCGTCTTTTTCTTTTCCTCAACTAAAGTATAAAACAAATAATCACTTATTTGAAGAAATTTTCACCCAACTTCTATCGCCTTCATAAACTGGCTCTTGATTTTCATAACTCGATGTACCAGTCTCTTCGGATTCTTTAGTAAAACCTTTTTCAGAATTAGTGACATTTGCCCTTTCATCCGCCTCTGATAATTTCAAGGTTTTTAAGTGCTCTGCTTCTTCCTCAAAGGAATGACCTATTGAAGGACTTGGAGAAGGTAATCCAAGAGCTGAAGTAATTGTTGCAGCGGCAAAATCAACGTTGTCATCTTCTAGTTTTTTCTTCTGCTCACTCTTTGTTTGTAATGAAATAACCGACTCACCTTCATTAACTGGCTCTCGATTTTCAGAAACTACAGTTATCGAGTCCACTATGCTCTCTTCTTCGTCTTCATAAATGTCATCACGATCAGAGGATATTGGAGAACCAGTCTCTTCAGATTCTTCAATAAAATCTTCTTCACTTGTTCCCAAATGTGTTCCCGAACTAACAACAGAAGTAAACCTATCCACCTCCGATAATTCCAAGGTTTTTGAGACCTCTGCTTCTTCCTCAATGTCCCCTTTTCTGTCTCTATGACGAGAATCATCAAAGGAATGATCTCTTGAAGGACTTGGAGAAGCTAATACAGGAGCTGAAGTAATTGTTGCAGCGGCAAAATCAACGTTGTCATCTTCTAGCTTTTTCTTCTGCTCACTCTTTGTTTCCAATGATTCGGGCGCTAGAATGTCATATGATTCGGAACCGATAGCAGCATATGTTTCCTTGTCCTGAAAAGCATGCATCATGGAAGCATTAATAAGAAAAAACCAAATTTACCAAAAAAACAAAATAGTAACCTAGGTTCAGGGACTGTTCATTCTATAACTCCATAACGCGAAAAACTGTTAATCAGTAACTATCTTAATCTTTTACCTAGTTCCACTGTCTTGCTAAAAAATCAGGAGTGAAAAGAATGGCATGAAATCACTTAGATAAAATTCACGCTTATAAATTGGTGGCCGTGTTTCCAGAGTTAACACCTAAAAGGCTAAAACCATCAACGAAATATTCTGAAACTGTATCATGCATATTTGAATGGAATGTATCTACAAAATATTGTGAGAAGTTGCAATCGCAAAGCTTAGATACTCATTGGAACAGATAACAGTTTGTTAAATTCAAAAGTTAAATATCCCTACCAATGACGCTAAAAGATCTATACCTGCGGGTCAACGATCCATCCATGATAGAGTGGAATATCCAATAAGCCAAATATTGCACATTCTGGAGTGAGCTCAAAATCATCAATTCTGAAAATTTCACATATAAATGTGTCAACTACAACGCTAAGAGAATTTTCCCTTTCGCTGAATCATATTGGACTACAACAAATGGATTTTTTTAAGCGGTTAAAAGTTATAAAGGGAAGTTTATTACAATATATCCTATAGCGTGCAGTACGAGATTGTAATTATTTAGTGCTGCAAATCAGAAGCAAAATGGGAAAAAGCCTAGAAGCCAATTTACCTTCTAAATTTTATATTCACATTAATGCCGGTCGTAAGTCGACGAAGTAGATCAAACATTTCTTCAATATCCTTCTGCCGATTTTGAACATAGCCAGTGTTTTTGTTCAGTCACCCAATTGATAAGATCATATTAATGAGAAAAGGAAACACAAAACATTAAGATCTGTCATATATGATGAAAAAAATGTAAATAAAAAAAAAATAATGAACAAAAGGAAATTACATAAGTGCCAGGTTTTGAATGCATCATGCGATCATAAACAAGTGAAAGCAATTGCTCTTGTGAAACCTCTGGATTATTTAAACCCGAACCCAAACTGTTCTTGAGTGAAAGAGCATTACCTGTAGTAATGTGCAACAGTCCTTTAATCGAACAGAAAATACAAGCGTGTAAAAGCGAAGAGAAACGTAAATAAGAAGCTTCAAATCGGTAACAACATTGCAAACAAAGCCAATGGAAGGAGTAGGTTCTCGATTAAAAGACACAAAACGCAATACCTCAAAATACCAAACCCTAAACAAACTAACATGAGTAATCTCACATAGAACCCTAAATACTAATTTCAAGTATTCCGAGAATTTCAAGACAATTGACACACATAGAATTATTCAGCAGAACCCCAAATCATCTCAGAAATTATCAAATTAAAAACATCACAATAAGCAAACCACAGTCCGTAAAATTTAAATAATTCCGAATAGCAACTTATCCCCAAACAATTTTCCCTCCTCAATTCTACCCAAAGTAATTCCAATTTCGTCTGTTCATCGCTCCTTTCAAATTGATCGAATTAATCCTAAAACTCAGAAAAAACACAGACGTTTAGAGAGAGAGAGAGAGAGAAAGAGTAGTTACAGATAGCGATGAGAGGGCAGGGGCCATTATCGTTTTGGAGAACGATCGGCGTGGTCCGGCCGAAATATTGTACAAATTTTATCGAGTGCTTTACCCCCTTCACTCGTTTATCGCGCTCCGCCTCCAACCTCGCCGGCGACGGCGGAACAGTGGCGGTTGAAGTAGACTCGGAAGAGGAATCCATTTCCCCTTTGTTGCCATTTGATCATATGCTCTGTCCAGAAGCTCTGTTACTTTGAAATGAAGAGGGAAAAATAAAACACTTGAAAAAATTCGGCAGTTTCTTTCTCTTTATATATATAATTATTATGGGCAAATTACAATCAGACCCCTGAGATAATGTCAAATTATGAATATCCCCTTTTGTTTGAGTAAATTACATTCAACCCTCAATTATGTATTATCTTACTAAATAAACCCTCATTTAATATGTAATTTTGACTTCGTAAGGGTGGACGTGTAATACAATAAATAGTTAAGAGCGATGGTTGTAATTACCGAAACAAGAGGGATTTATTTAATAATTTGATATTAATTCAGGGGGCTAGCCGTAATTTGCCCAATCATTAACTCAACAATTTTGGCAGTTCGGCTTATAATAACCGTTTTGACAGCAATAAACAACTAGAATAATTTCTCAACAGTAATTAGTTACTTTTGAAATTACTTGCCAAAAGCTGAATTTTCAAAATAATAATAATAATAATAATAATAATAATAATAATAATAATAATAATAATAATAATAATAATAATAATAATAATAATAATAATAATATTAATAATATTAATAATAATATTTTAAGCGATAATTGACAGCTTTTCTGTTAATCGATTAGCTTTTTAGTTAATTCACAAAAAAATTGTGTTTAATTGAGTTGACCAACATTTTTAGTTGATTGACTGAGATTTTTTAGTGAGTTGACTACATTTTCGCACATTCGAAGATATCGACTGACGAAGTGGACGACTAAGTCGACAAAAGAAATTCCGCACATTTTTAGATAGAACTAAAAAAATTGAAATTTATTTTTTACTTTCGAAAAAAAATCTGATAATTTCGAAAATGCTAATTTTGATCAAATTTAATCACCACTGATATCATGGATGTGCGACGAAGTGGCATTAATCTACACGAGTAACTTCCTCTCTCTCTAAAAAAAACAAAAAACCGAAAAGTTCTCTTCGAATCAGTAACAACAAGAATGTGTAAGTGATTTTACTAGAGTTTGGGTGGAATGTAAATTGAACAATTTTGCATATAATCGAAAAAATAACACTTAATACTAATAATTTATTTGCATCTCGAATGTAAATGTGTGTATAGTAGTTAAACATGATAAATGTCGTTTTAGTTAAAAATACCCTTTTGACTCTAGATAAAAGTATGATCATTTTCGAGGCTGAATTTGTCAAAACTCGAGAGACAATTTTTTTGGTTCTTTGAGTTAATTTTCTAATTTAACCTGAGTCAAAGAAATTGAATGTTGGATGAAAAACATAAGTATGAATCATTGAACAATGCTCACAATTTTAATGTTTTGAGTTATCTAAAATTCAAAACGTAATTTATTCAGGTATAACTTTGTCATACTATCATCTAATCTAGCTGATTCAAGTTGGATTAGAAAGCTCACTCAAAGAACTACAATTTCCGTGTATCGATATTGCCAAAATCAGATTACACACATGTCAAAATCACGCTTAAATCAAAACGATATTATTATAATTGAAACGACATTTAACATTTTAAATAGCGTTGTCAATAGATCCGATCCTCTTAATTATCTCCGGTATTATTTGTAGTACAGCCGGTACAATTATCAAAATATTGTAAAAAGGAGAAAGAAATAAACTTTTTTTATTTATTATATAACAAAATTAACGGCCTCCTTTTCCCGCTTTAAATTAAGGGTCTATTAGATATAACCCCCTTAACATTCAAATAATAGGGTAGACCCAAATTTATATTTGCCATTTGATAACCAACCCAAATTTTTTCTAATTACATAATTACCCTCAATCAATTCCACCAAAACCCCGTACTTTACCCTTTGAAATAAAAACCAAATCCCTTCCTATTTTCCCGTTAAATCACTATCATCCCAAAACCCCACTATCGGAATAAAACTGCAAAACCTCCCAGAACAACTTCCCGGGTGCGGCCGATTGAAAGGGGGAAGACGTATGCCCTGTCGTGAAACGACGATTTTTCGTGCACTCCCGAGCAAGCCTATCGTAGGTACGTCGTCGCCCCTCGCTGAATCGCTATCATCCATCGATTTGTTGATATCTCACGTTTGTGTATTTGCAGATCTGTTATAATCGCATACCGCATTCGAGCACTAATCAGTGATATTGCAACAATTGATGGGCAGGACATCCACCAGAAGTGATATCGTCGTTGGCCGCCGCCGTCGCCGTCGCCGTCACAGCTCCAATCTAGGGTTACTCGAATATAGGATTACTCAAATCTAGGGTTTTGATAATTCTTCGGCCCATTGTTGATTAACGAGATGCATAGTCGAATTACATCTGTATTAATATACTATCCCATATCATTTAGTAGACTATCCCACTGGTATAATTTTACTATGGATCTCGTTAATCGACTATGGGCCGAAGAATCATCAAAACCCTAGATTTGAGAAGTGACGGCGGCGGATTTGTGTTTTAAAATTAATAG